CGCCCGCGGCAGCCTCCTGCCCTCCCCTGCCCAGCCTCTCCTCGCGGTTCTGCTCCTGCGGGAAGCCCAGGGCAACGGGGGCTCGCCCGGCCTGACGCGCGGGGCCAAGCAAACCCCTCCTGCGGCCAGAGCGAGCTGCTCTCTGCCCCTCCCCGCAAGCACAGCCCCTTCCCCAGCAAGCGCAGGCTGTAAGCTTAGCGCCGGTGCTTGGACTCAGGCCTAGCACGAGCAAAAACGCTGCTCTGTTAGGTACCTTCTGGGAGCTGGAAGGAAGCGCTATATACGGAGGCAGAACCAGAGGGATCGAGGCCCTGATCCACGAGGCAGCAGCAAGCGCTCAGCCCTGAGTTCACGGGTTCAAAGGCATCAGCAAAAGTTGGTAGCGTCAGATCTTTAACCACGCGCAGCGGCGAGCAGCTTCACCAGGGGAGAGCTGGGTCACGTAACTAAGCAGCGTTACAGGGCTTGTCCTGTCCCCCAGGAGAACCCTTTCAGAAGTAGGTTTGGGTGTAATTTCATCAGAGGGTTCCTCTGAGCTTCTGCAGCTTGCATCTGCGTGTGCGCGTTCCCCATTTTGTCCCTTTGAGGCATGAGCCTGCAGACTGACCACAGTCCTAGGACAGACAGCGTCAGACCCTTTCCCCCCTTCTCCTGGGTCAGCTGATGCAAACCTCTAATCCTGCGCTCGAGAATTAGAGGTTGGGCTTTCCCAGGCAAAGCCGTGCCTGAACGCACGCTCCTGACACACAGCTGACTGTGGTAGCTGATTGCAGACTGCCCTCTCCTGCACAGCGGTTTGTGCCCCCAGGCTGTTGCTATTTGTGATTTTAAAAGGTATTCGAGTACTGATTCACTAGCCTGGATATCTCCCAGACCCTTTTCGAAACGGAGAGGGGAGGTAGGAAGAAGTGGGAAGTTGTGATTTACTCCTTCCAGCCACAGCCGGGATCAGCTGGAGGGGTACGACACTGCCGTCACCCCCAGGCTTGACACCACCACAGGCCCTGCTGAGACCTGTTAACGTGCCTGCGCAGCCAGATGAAGGACTTGTCAAGCTGGGTGGAGAGGCAAACACTCTTGTTCAGTTAAGTTACTAGAGGGCTACCTGCATCTAGCACTTCTTAACCGCCCTGAGGTCAGGCCCATGCAGGGAGGTGCAAGTGCTCAAAGCACAGCATCTTAGGCTTGGCACAGGCACAGTCACCCTTCACAGAGAAGCTCTATGCAGCGTTCATGAAAGCACAGAGAAACTTGTTTTAAAATAGGAGCAGACTACAACTGCGCTATTCTTCATGCTACCGTAGCTAGACTACAATCACTACTAACTACTTTAAGGCCGGCCTCACAACTTGCACGCTGCATTGCAATCACTTGTGACTAACACACGAACAGGAAAAAGGGCTGCAAAGGGATACAGTCACCTGCCTCTTATTCGTAATGTTTGTAAGGCTGGAGGCAAGAAATACAGAATGGAAGAAGGGGTATGGGCAGAAAAAGAGCAAAGAGGAGGAAAAGTGAAAAGGCGTGAAAAGAGAGATGGGAAGGTGCTCACCAGCTCCGAGCTGGAGCTCTCCGGGCCGTACTGCCCCAGTGCTTTCTGCTCCAGGCACAGACACCCTCCATGCAGCCAAGCTCTCAGACTTTGATAACTGTGGCTCCTTGGTCCAAACATGCAGCTTAGCCATGCTTGCACTCAGTACCAAAGCCGTATAGCACGGCATGGGAACAATCCTTAGTTCCTTTTTTACTATACCAGCACAAAGCAGCATAGGAGTTCAGAGCGGGGAGTGGGGGGGAAGAGTGAGGCTGTGCAAAGCACAGAGAGACAAGATGTCCTCATTACTGAAATGGCAAATAAGGGCACTTCCAGGCAGCTTTAGCTCGATGCTCAGAGCTGTACGGAAAAGTGATTGCAGAACTACATTCTGAAAAGGCATCCACTACAACCGTACTAGTGCCAAGTGCTTGTAACAGGCAGGAAAGATTATCCTCATATCATCGCCCTGCGTAACGGTAACAAGGATGTTTTTGAACCAAATCCACTACGGAAACCTGGGCTTAATAGCTCCAAGGAATGTATGGAGAGACGAAATATTAAAAATATTACATATGATTAGGATACTGCCCAAGATCCACCGAGAGAGAAGAAAATAACCCCAGGCACTACTGGAAAGGTCTGTGCCTTTCACATGCACGGAACTGAGCCAATCTGACACCTAAGGAGTGGAGAGCTGCATCCTCAAGGTTAGCAGCAGGTTGGGGAGAACAGGAATTGAACAATTTGGATAGTGTGAAATCCTCAGCTATTCTGAGCAAACATCCTGGACACAGTCCAAGGGAGACAACTGTGATGAAACACACCGTATGGAGACATAAGAGCTCCTGATTTCCAAACGCTTGCAGTAGACAACGTAGTAGATGCAGAAGGTCGCTTTCATGCAGTGGGTTAAAGGAGGAACGCACAGCTAATAGCTCGAGCAGAGGTTTCATTAGGGTAACTGAGACCCCCTGCGTCAGTTTTGTTAACAGCAGTAACACGTTCAATGAATCTTGATGGGGTTGAACGTGAGACATTTCAGAACCATCTATCGACAGGTGGAAAGGAGGTATGGACACCAACAGCATCCCACAGCTCAGTGAGAGGCTCACAGATTTTAGGAAGAACAGACTGACATAGCTGATGTTATTAAAGGCAGAATAAAGATGTAACTGTGATCACATAACTTGATTCCTTTCCACTTAAGAAGGGCAGGAATTTCTTGTTTTTCCTGAACGTTTCTTGTTCACGTTGCTGTTCGACACACTCACAAACAGGGGACTCCTGCCTACCGTCAGGGCTCTTTGCGACCTCTCAGGAAGTGGTTACAGAAAGGATCACAAGCACGCTCAGAAACGGGTGAGCGGGTGGTGAACACGTGCTTATTCCTCAACAAATAGCTGGAAAGTGCCCTCTTCTCCCTTTCACAAGCATGAAGCAGACTTGGGTCACACTGGTCGGTGTAATCCCTAGCCTGACTCTGAGCAACTGAAAGGAACTGCCAGCAGGTGCTTAATGACTGCTTTTAGTTCCAGCATACTGATGTAAAGTAGCAACTCTCCTAAAGACAAGCTGCATGTTCTGAACTGCTTGTTACTGCACACAGGCTCCCCTGTCCAATTACAGGCATATTTGTCACTGTTTTCACTGGAGTTGAACTGGGTGGGGGAAAGTCCTGTTCAAACCTCTTTGTTCAACTACCATTCTACAAGTACACAAGGCTCTGCAGGTGGTGAGGCCAGCACGGCAAAATGTTTGCCCGGAAAATGTGCTGATCTGAGCCACAGCTATGGCCATCGGAGAGGAACTCCTCTCCGATGTGCCACCTCTGCGAAATGCCTCATGCTCTAGAAGTCAAGGCAGGCCAAATCAGGTCGGGACTTGATTTCAGCTGACCTCGTCAGGGTGAAGTGCTGTCTGGCATGAATGAAAAGACTATCACTTTCCTCAGTTACAGATTCACTCTTTTCTTTCACAAGCTCTTGTTCAGAAACAGGCTTAGGATTGAATGCAACAAGTGGCAAAAACGTTTGAAGGAAGGGCCTTTTAGTCATCTCTCGCAGGAGTATGAGAACTAATGGGAGGACGGTAAGCCATCGTCATGAGAGTAGCTTTTGTAAACACTGTTTTGAAAGAGCGAAGCACTCTGCATAAAGTTCATCTGAGAAAGTTTCCATGCATCACTTCAGTGCAGTGTCTCACGGCTAATAAAAGCATGTTAAAAGAGTAACACCTACGCATTTGAAGTTCAAAGTTGTAACTACATTGAAGAATACATTTTCCTGTAAAAATCAACCCACAGTCCTTCCACTGGCTGTCAGAGGCATGAAGGTATTTGGGCAAGGTTGACTGAAAAAACAATCCTTTAAAACAGAAGTGAAATAAGAGCAAAAACTATTTTTAATACCTTAGGTGACTTCAAAAATGCCTTATTTATGAAGAGGGCAAGTTTGTTCACTGATAACATTCACAAAATGCCCATTAATTTGCGAGGGAAGCCAGAGAGCTTTGGTCACTCTTTCACAAGTTCCTACAGCTTTTAAGTCAAGAGGAGCCAAAAGCAATTCTGTGGTTTTTGCAGCATGCGGAGAAAATGACGACAGCAGATGGAGAAACATCCTCTGGTACAGGAGGATTTTCTTCCTCTGACCGCACATGCCGGAAATTTGATCTTCAGACAGCTGGTACCAGGCATCATACCAGCGAGGAAGAGACAGAAGCAAAACGCTATCTCTCTGGCTGATGCTGAAGACAAGTACGGAGCAGACCCTTGGGACACACAATGGCAACCCCTCATCTCTTTCTTGGCACCATTCTCACAGCAACAAAAGATCCCTTGGTATCAAGGAGTTATCAGTCAATTTGTGTAGGTTTCCCACCTAATTACAGATATATTTGTCACTACTGTTTTCACTGAGATGTCCTGCCCCAGGCCAGAGCGCCAGAATCCACACCCATGTATTCAGCAGAGGTCCTAGCCCAGCTCTGCATCCCTGCCACCACTCGGACGTGGCAGGAGGCAGATGCCTGGTACACCGAGTATAG